GCACAGTGAAATTTCAGTGTGCACTGCACCACAAAACGGTGTATGATTTATGTGGAAAACCTGACAGTATTTCACCAGTCGAACTTTTTGGTGGAATGGCGACTAAGTATCGAACGGTCGCTAAAGCTGTTAGTACGACTGGAATAGACAGAATTATACCTACGTATAAAACAGTACTACTTGCCCTCTCGCGTTTCCACCCAGCACGGAGAGAAGTGAGTCGTCAGCCGAGTACCACAGACTCCTGGTGTCAGCCAGGTATCTTTAAATCCCACTATCCACAGTCGCTGTGCATAAGCCTGTTGTTGAATACCAGGAAGCTTGTTGAAACGACTGGCATTTTGTGGACACGCATTTCGACGATGGTTCCATTTAATCCAAAGGCTAGGAGGAGGGAAATTTTGAGTCACCAGGGGGTGTAGCAGAGTTGGCTCTGATTCGGAGGCTTGGAAAGCGCTCCTGCAGCGTAGCTGCTTGCTTCCTGCACTTGGCTGCACCGCGTCTTGTTGCCCTTGGAATCCGGTTTTCGTCAATCTTCTCGAAAACGCAGTTCAACCACCTTCATTTATGGGTGCGCGTTATACTGTGTGCTTCCTACGTAGTTCTCCCAGGAACCCGGTACAAGCATAACAGAAATTCATGGTTTCCGTGTATCAACATGAGTAACCAACAGGAATTCTGAAAAAGATCACCTACCTTGTACCGGATTGGCTTTGGATTTGCATCTGAACATTTTTTGTATTGTAGTTGGTTGTCGTTTACTTGAAACGACTTGGTTCACGGAATGTCTACAAATCCTTATTACCCTCAGTAACTGCTTTCTAAATGACACTGGACAATCACCTGGGGATCTATCCAGGCTCAGTTTTGAGGTAAATTCATCTTAATGGATAACTTCAGTGCGATGGGCTCAGGACAGATGTAACAGGCCAAATATTTTGCTCTCAGCAATGGAGCTCGATATAGCTTGATGTTTAAAGCGCCAGCTTACGGACCGGAAGATCTGTGGTTCGAACCCAACCTCCAAGCGATGTCAGTGGCGATCATGGCCCAAGTGGTTAGAGCGCGAATTTCGATGTCAGTGTCATGGCCCAAGTGGTTAGAGCGCGAATTTACTGACAGGAAGGTCCGTGGTTCGAATCCGACCTCCGCCTCTCGACTTCCTTCCCCTAGGCTTGGGCAGTCTGGCAGTATCTTAGCCCTCGTGCTTCTTTCGGGTGGCATGGCAGCTAGGCGCCGGAGGGGTGCTACAGCTGAATGCCAGTAGCGATCATGTCAGGTTCTATCTGGATTGCCTGAATGAGTGTCTGGAAATGTGGACACCTCGGAATGACTGTAGTAAGCTGGCACTAAGTCCTTTCTCCATCCACCTTTATTATTTTCTTCACAATGAGGCTTTCAAATAAATCATGATTGTACGGCAGCGAAGTATCGGTCATCATCATCATCAAAGACAGCAACATCAGTGTTGCCACTGATGCTTCACTGCCGTACAACCATAAGG